AATAAATGTGGATTCAAAATGTAGTTGAACAATTAGCCTAAAAGTAACCTGTGAGAGACTTCATCTCCTACACGCTCTAAATGCATTTAAAATGTAAATATTGAAACATATCCAATGACTAACACAGCTTAAATATCTATTACAAATAATAAACAATACTATTAGGTATTTATTTGTAAAAATCTATCAACACAGCAACACGTCTAACAATTTAAAAAACTAAAAACTGTAAATATATCTATAGCCATATGATAAAAAGAATAATTTAATTAACTTTCAATTTAAAATAACTCAAGTATTTTACAATTACTTACAGAAAAATATTAAATTTATAGATTAGAAATATTCCTCTATTATTAATATATTATTTATATTATACTATTAATATATTATTTATATTATATTATTAATATATTTATACATTACTTGTATTTATAAAAATTATAAATAACAAACAATTTTAATCTTTTATTAGATTCCATAGATTCATAAGAATTTTTTCCGCCTATTTTTATTCTTTTAGGACAGTTTTCTTCAGCTGCGAGTCTTTTTCCTTTTTTTTATCAAAGATTTAATCCATTTTGTTGTATTTATTTTTTTATTTATGAACATTAATGACAAAATATGTCCAGAACTTAGAGTATTTCTTTTTGGAAATACTATCTCATTCGTAGAACTGAAGACCCATTCGCATTCTGATGAAGATATGGCATTTTTTTTATTGTAGAGGTCAAATTTTTGAGGTCTTCTATAAATATTTAAATTCACAAAACCTCTAACAGGCAACAGCACTGATTTCATCAACTTTAAATTTTTATGACAAGCGACAAATGCTATCATCACCATACTGAATGTTGAAATTGTCTGGCCAACCATTTGAATTAAATACATTTAAATCAGCTAATAATTGATCATATTAAGTTTCTTTAAACAAGTTAAAGGATGTTGAAATATGTAATAACTGGGTAGTAAATAATCAACTTTTTAGATTACTTAAAATACTTTAGAAAAATTGTCTATAATTAATCTTTTGCATGCTTTTATGGATATGAAGTTGAAAGTTATGGAATTTATTGGACATAGAAACAAGATGCATGATAATTTTAACTTTTAAAAATATTACTAGGTATGATAATTATTAATTAGTAAGTATGTTGGTTGATTTAAATTCTATAGTAACTATACTAGTAGCAATAATACTTATTCCCTATCCAGATCAATTTGCTTAAAAATATTGACAAAATATTTAGCTATTTATACTTCCTCTATCTATCCAATTACAAATTCACAGAGTATTTTTTTTTTTTTTATATAAAAAATAATTAGTATTGACTATAGTAAGGCTATATAATGTATATATTAACAGCGTAATGATACACAGTTAAATCTCTATTTTTTGAATATAATAAGATATAATTCGGTAAACGACTTTAAAGTTTAAAAAATCTAACCATCATACTGTATTTATTGTTTATACATTTAAAATTAAAATACTATAATATTATTGAAGAGACACATCACCTGCATCTGCATGTGCTGTCTTTGTCTTATAAATGTAAACATAACAAAAACTGTTTTGCTTATAGTTATTAACTCATAACTAAAAACAGAATTTTCACCCCATAAAAAGGAAAACTATGGCTGTGAAATATATAAAAAATTATATACATTATTTTTATTTTTCAAAATTGGACTTAAACATGTATGTGTAACAAACTTCCTTTAAAGTATAAAAATAATTTATCTTACTATTGTTGTATAATGTACCTTTAGGTTCATACGCTTAATCTCTAATTATTTGACTAAAAAGACCATGAACTAACCGGTTTCAATTTAGACTTTTAATAATAGATAGAAAACATAATTTAAATACCTTTGTTCTCAAAGACCATAAATTAATCGGTTTCAGATCGGACTCGTTTATTCTAGCAAGTGGAACCTAATTTAAAAACACAATCCAATGAGTTAAAACCCTTTATTTAATGCACATTTACACAAACAAACAAAATCAATACAATCGTCGTATGTTGTAGTACTTGGGTACCATGACTACCCTTTCTCTCTCGATCTTTTTGCCTTACATCTAATTTACAATTTAGCTGCCTCTGCACATTTAGCTTCACTGGCCTACATTACAAAATATGCTTACTTCTATTGATCACATATTACTACACTATATTGGTAGCCATTCATGCAACAATAGGTTAAATTAATTAAAAAAAATTGTATTTTAAAATGTCATTATGTATATATGAATTAGTTACCTATGATAATCTTGGTTCTAAATATTCAATAGTGCAACCACCCTAAAATAAGGCATTATTAAAACAATTATAATAATATTTTATAATATTATAATTAGGGAACAGATTTATATGCGTTTTTCATATTTTTTTGCTGTCCAAAAGATTGCTAAGTGAGATATAAATCTGTTTCCTAATTATTATAATATAATATACACACTTGTAAAACTTACATGAACTGATATGATTTTTGGTTCAAGTTTATGATACAAAGAATAATTTATTTGTTTGATTCTTTTTATTTTATTCACTCTCGTATCACCTTTGATTAATTTTAGACATTGTCATTATTTTATTATAAGTTCCAAGTTTGATTTTAACTTATTACCATTGGAACTTTTTGATGTTGTACCAGAAGTTTGATTAAAACATAATAATATATATGGAAATGGTAAAATATATTGAGGGTAGCGAATTTAAAAAAAAAAATAAACCAAACATGAACTTTTAAGTAAAAAATAATAGCAAATATTCCCGTATTTCCCACACATGTTTAAGAATAATCAAAAATAATTTTATTACATTATGCGGGGATACTACTAGATGGAATACTCATACCACCACAGTAAAATTTTTTTTTAATTTAACTTATTAATATTGTTGAAGGTATGTGATAGATGGTAACTCAATGGGTACATTACAAGTTAACATTTAAATACATAAAATATTAAAACAATCTATAGGACAATTAATAAAAAAATAGAAAAATAAAAATATAATAATTAAAAAGAAATGAAAAGAATAAAAATTAATAATGAGAAATCAAACACTTAACAGTGGTTCATTAGCAGCATGATTTGTGATAAAAACAGGAATATTTAACAATTAGCTAACTATGTGTGGCCAAAGTAGAAAAATTGAAATTAATACAAGAGAGATTAGGGGAGTCGATTTTACCTAACAGTAAACTAGAACGAAAAGTTATATTAGCTTATACTTTCCAATCAACCAACAAAAGATAATTATAGAGCTAAAAGGACTGAAAAATAAGTTGCCAGTGCTCAATTTTTCAATACATGCACACATAATACAAAAACTTACACTATACGCACTCCATGAGATAACCATGACCAATTACATAAAAATCCCTTAATACAGATGCATATTAAAACACAGTGTATTAACTCACAGTAAAATAATTTGATCGGAAACAATTCAAACCAAGTACAAACATGTTTAACATACCTAAGTATTTTTAATGATTTACAACTAAAAATATTCTGAATTAAAACATTTTAGTTTTATGTCAAAAACTAGACCCAAGTCATTAACGTGTTTCTACTCTTATATACTCTTTGACTATAATGTGGAGACAATGATATAATAGTCAAAAACTATCAGATAATATGATTGGTAAAACGACATAGAATTTTTGGATATTAAGTGAAAACCCAGGGTCGAAGTCCAATATACAACTGGACATTATTCATACTAATATAATCATCGTTCAAATTAACTTTTATGTACGGATTCAGGACATCCGCAAAAAACATAAATTTGCTTTCCTTTATATTATATAAATAATAAGAAAAGCACGGGATAGAATTGTCCCCTTGTGTGACGCTCGAACGCAAGTCAGTAACCCAAGATAATATCCCATGAATCAATTAATTACTTCCTATAAGATAAGTAAAAGCTGAAACATGTTAATAAAGGTTCCACAGAGCCAGTTAGATATAATACGTTTAGCAATACTTTATTAATATTATCAAAAGCTTTGGAAACATTCGAATAAATTGCATCAATCTGAGAATGATTAGAAAATGTGTCAAATACAAATTTAGTAAGCACCATAATGCATGATAGTGTTGAACGTCCGAGGCAGAAGCCATATTTATCACATAAGATATTGATAAATGGATGAGAGAAATACAAGACAAACTTTTAAAGGAATCAAAGACTTATGAAATTTAATAAATTTAAATAAACTTGTATTTTACTATATAAAGAAACTGTTGTAATTTCATAAATTTTAGTTTAAAATATAGAATTTAATTTAATTTTACAACGACCAGGAAATAAATCACTAAACCTATAGTTTTACATGTAAAACTAGAGTTAAGTGAAATCTGTAGAGGCGTCAGCCCTAACTGTATCASATCTATATTAAATTATAAAGTTTATAAATTATTAATGTTGAACAGAAAAGAACAAGTATTATTAAAAATTACATATATACATTTTGTACAACATCTTCTTATTTAATGCAATTTTAAATAATGATTTAACATTTATTACCAATATAATAATGATACAATTCAACTCAAGTTCATAGTATTGTCAAAATGTAGAAATAAAAATAAAATATATGACAATAGACTGATTAAACATATTTAATAAATTTGTATTTAACAGTGAAATGAAAATGCTTGGTACATTTATATGAAAATTACATCAGTCATCAATTTACTGTATGAACGCCAAAAAATAAAAAATAAAAATAAATCTTAATAACTTATAATACTCTTAAGTAAATACAATTTACCCTTTTTTTTTTAAATAATAGTAAATAGTAAATAAATAATAATTCAATTGAAAACGCCCAATTTTCGTTGTTGTGCCATTAATAATAAATCATAAAAAAGAATAATTAACAAAAAATAACGCAACTTAAGTCAAAGCTTAATTTGACAATTTACAAAAAACTTACAAAAAATGAATTAATAAAACTGTTGAAAATAAGCAAAAAATTAAATTAATAATACTGTAGAAAATAAAACTTTTAAATTAAAGAGGATAAATATTATTTCATGTTTATTTTATTACCTTCCGTTTTCAATGTTTCAATGCTTTAGCTGTTTAATCTTCTGATAATAATTGCTTATAAAGTTTGTCAATAATCGTTTCATGCGAATCTTTGATTTCAATAACATGTTCATCTTCATTATTGCTTGAGTGACATTGCTCATCATTATCAATGCATTTAACTTCATCTGGCACATTGTCATTTTCATGTTGAATTTCAAGATTGTTTTGTTCATCGTTATAGCAAACTTCAGCAACATTATTTTTATCTTCTTCATTCTGGTTATTATCTTCTTCATTCTGGTTATTATCTTCATCATCAAATTCTAAGTTCATAAAATCTGTACTCTCACCCTCTATGCTGTTAAGCATGTGTCGGACAGACTCATAACCCCCTGCCACAGCCTGTTGTGCCAATTGGCCAGTTGGAGCCATTCCTTTTCTACGTCTGCAAATGCTACAGTTACAATATCCACGACAAGGTGGACAAGCCCATTTCTTAAAAATACAAAATATTATTGAGTATTTTAAAATCATGACTTATATTACTTATAATTTACCGGGTTAACTAAAACATTTGCAACATTTTCGCCATATCTTCTCCCCAAACAAAATCCACAAAAATTTCCTCTCATGCCGCTACATCCTTTGTACCGACAATATGATTTCTGGTCTGTAGTTTTCTGTCTAAATACAAAATAATGAATTTATAGGAATATATTTCAACATAGTATGTCATTCGCATTTATTTTTAACTAAAAATTGAGATTAAAATAAAGGGCTGCAGATATTTTAAATAAGCAAAAAATTAATAAAATGGTAACAATTAGAGTAATTTAAATAACCATATACTATTCATATTTTTTTTTTTATTTTTTATTAGAAATAAACAATCTATACAGTATATGTACAATAAGCTTATGTGCTAAGAGCAGACATGACAAGATAAATTGATTAAGAAGCCGCCCATTGGCACAAAGAGCCAGTTTCTAAGTTTCTAAGTTTAAATTGGCTCATTATGCCATGTAGCAAAGATTGTAAATATTCTTTTATATAAAAATAAAAAATAAAAATTGTATTTTTTTATTTGATTAACAAAAAAAGTTTAAAAAGTTTTAAAAAGAGATCTGATTGGCTCATTTAGTTAGATAAATAAATTATCAACAGGTATACAACGTATAAGGTAGGTACGTTATCTTGGTTAAGTCATAACGACGTTTTGAACTTGAGTTGGGATATTATTTACTCTGCACGACCAAAACAAGATAATATTTTAAGTGTTTTTAGAATAAATTTGAACTATATTTTAAACTTTTAAGAACTGTAAAATCCACTATTTATTAACAATGCATTTGTCGTGAAACATTAAAACTCGTAATATTTTTTTTATTATTATTAGGAACCGTGAGTTACGTCACTGAAAAAAAGATAAACATACAAAATACAAATTTTATTAAAATAATTGCATTGTCTAAAATATAGTTTCTTCTTATACCGCTTTTATAAATTACCAGGAAAAAAAAAATTACATTGCATCAAAATTCAAAACCTCTTAATAACATATATTTAGTATATCGCAATAATTATTATTCAAAAAGTATTGTTTTTTAAAACATTTTTTTTTATATGGTTTCAAATAGTTGAAAAAACGTTTTTGCTAAAAACATTTATTTTAAATATTTTTCAAGTTTTTAAGGGTTTTTAATTACATCTTACAGTTTTAATTTCATATTTTTTCAAAAGTTTCGATACATTAAAAACAAATTTAGGATGAGTATCTTATGAGTTATGAACATTCAACGTTTAGATAAGCAAAGCAGTGGAATAGTATTCTGCTGATTAACCATATATGACTTCACTCAGTTCATCCAAACTTTATATGCATCAAACTTACACACTATTTTCATAAATTCAATTTTTATGTATTGAAAATCAAGAAACTTAGGAAAAATGTTCTGATTTGGAAAATTAATTTTATGTACTTCTTTATTTAAAATATCAATGATAAATAAAATATATTTTTTTAAATACTGTTTTTTTAATAACTAGTAACCTAAAAATTTTATTTATTTTTTCAAAAACATTTATACATCATGAAATAATAATGAGTGATCAATGATAAATTAATCATCTTATATACTTTAAATGATTCAACTTTTTTTAAAAATCCATTTACCTGCATTGGTGACAAGTTGTACCAGATTGACTATATACTTTTCCTGATGATGAGTATGAAATATTATCTATCATTTCTTGAGTCACTTGGGAAACAGCTAAACGAGGTGTATATGCTTTACGCTTTCTTTTTGATCCAGGCTATATACATAATATGATTCAATATAAGWTAAATACAGATAAAAAAAAAAAAAAAATACTTAATAATTGATACATACTGCAGATGACTCATAATCAGATTCATATTCTTCATCACCATCATGAATAAAATCACTATCAACAAGTGAGCTATAGTACAACTCATCTGATTTTTGATATTCGCTTGATTTAAACCAACGAAATTTGATTTTTAATGATCCATGTTTGAGTTTTTTTTTGTCATTTTCATCATCACTTTGTTCATTATAATTTGTTGATTGTCTATACATCACACACACACACACACACACACATATATATATATATATATTTACTACATTATTATAAGTAAATTAAGTAACAAAACATGAATATACATAAAAATAGTGATTATTAATTGCTATAATTGAGTTTTTAACATCTTAATTTTATTTGTTTGTTAAATTATATTATTCAAAACGAGCCAAACAAATAATTTATCAAAGAATCAGGTACAAGTATACTTTAAAAAAATTTATCTATTTGATTAATAATGTAAAATGTGTCTGAAAATATATAAAACAACAAATATTATGATATAAGTAATTTTTGAGATCACATATCTTAACTCATATCAAGGCATCAAAACACATTTCTGTACTCAAAGAAAAAAATTTCAAACTATTTTAATTCCTAAAATTGAAAAATAATTGGACATGAGTCTTGATGAAATCAATCTATATACTCAATTCTGTTACTTCGACTACTTTAGTACTATCCAGATAGTTCCATATTTTAATACATAATACACATCATGAATTGCCATTTATCTCTTAGATGATGATTCAAAATGGAGGCAATTAATATTTTAGTTGATGTGTGGAAGATGATTTTATGGTCAGATAAAAATGTGATGCCAATTTCCAATGATAAAATTATTGTACCTACAGCTCATCATGACATTGGCAATTATAATTTGTCAAATATTGAAGATGGTGATTTGGAAGATTTTATTAAAATTAAAACATTTATTTCTTTATAAGAACAAAATGAAAGTGTTGAAGCGGTACCAACTTGTTTGTTGTTACAAAGGTATGATAATACTCAACATTCCACAAGTTTTAAACATTACAAGCAGAATTTGAAGTTAATTAAACCAAAGCTATTTAGATTAAGACAATTAATCCTATGTGTTTCTGTAAGTCAATAAGTACCAACAGAATATTTTAAGATGATTAATAATTTAAGACATCAGTTTTAACTTCTGTTATTAATGTTATTTAATTATAATTTAGACAATAATCATAATTTTATTTACTTGATAAATTACTATTGAGTTATTACATAGGTACATTGATGAAGTTTTCGAGTATCAAAAAAAAAAAAAAAAAAAAAAAAAAAAAATAGAAAACTTAAAAATATATATAGGAAATTCAAATTTAAAAGCATTATTAGTGTTTTTGATAAAAGCGATCGATAATTAAATATTAAATTGTTTAATATTATTTGATTGAAGACTAAAAATTAAAAACAATTGTAAAGCCCATGTAGCTTTATATTGTATGCTATTGAAGAAAACTATAATGATTTTTATTCCTATTGGATTTAATTTGTATTTTGTACCTATTGGTCATAGATAAGATAGGACATAACGGTCTTATAAGCGGTAATTAAAGGGTAAAATTAATGCCAGACAAGTACATAACTATATCGAGTGTCGAGTATCAAAAATAATAATAATAATAATCTATCTACTAAAGCCTCAAATGTCTTCCCTTATGAGAACACTGCTTCAATTTTTTTCAAGGTTTAAGTTTAATTCACCAGATTTACGTATGTCACTTGTAAGTGACATACTAGAAAATATTATGATTATATGATAAAATTAAATAATAACTATATTTTAGTTTTTAATGTTTTACTTTTTTATTAAAGTTAAAAATTATAAGTGTAAGTAATTATTAAATTACCTACCTACGTATTATATTGTTAAAACTTAAAAGTGTTAAGTATGTATTAATTTTGTAACAACTACATTAGTTAAGAATTAAAAATAGTCACCTAGATACTAGATCATCGTTTTATTTTATTTCACCATGTTTGATAACAGTAATGGTTCTAACCTTCTTAATCAAAAATAACTATAACAAAATTATGTAAATAGCAAATCCTTTCTTCAGTAGAAAAAATGATGGAGTAAGTGATAACTAATAACATATTAGTACCTATATTACTAAGCAATAAAAATATTAATTTAATGTTTTAATATTTACTATGAATTAAATTTTTTTCATTATATTGACTTTTAAAATAAAATTAGATTACAACCTATTTCAAATTTGCATTCAAAATCTAACTTTAGATAAACAATATCGGTTTTTTTTTACACCGGAAGTAACCTTAATTAATCTGTATAAATTTATAATTAGAGTTAGGATGTTGATGACCTAAAAAAAAAACACAAAAACGACATAAAAAGTGCAAAAATTCCGTAAAAACTTCAAAAAATGACCTTAAAAATTATCTAAAAAACTAATTAAGTACCTAAGTGAAAAACGAATTTATAAATTATAATTTTTATTAGGGATATGGGTGGAATAGTAATTTAAAATATGAATTATAAGTAAATTAAGCATTTAAATAATTTATAAATAAATTTCAATATTAAAAATAAACATTTGCCTTAAAATCTATAATTAGAGAAAAATGCATTTTATACCTAGAATCAAAGGAACAAAAATGCAAGTCATCAACATCCTAACCATGTTTATAATACATAGTAACTCCCATAACAGCTGTATTGTCTTTCAAAACCCAAAGCCTATAAAAATGATTTCAGTACAAGCCTTGGTTAAAATCTATGCTATAATAATAATAAATTACTGATAATGGTAGGTACTTAAGGATATTACTTTAAAAGCAGTACTTGATTTTAAACATAGTATATATAGGTACATAATTATAATAATGTGCCAGATCTGTTATGAATGGATATAAACAGGATTTCTTACTACTGATAAATATTTGAAAAATACTTATATATTTAATATTTATATGTTCAAACTTTAAAATACACCATACAGGTATTACAAACAATTCAGAGTAATAATTTTTTTCATGTTTAACAAGGTACATATTAACATAAGTAAATAAATAATTTCATACCTTTTTTCTTGAATAATACGCGATGAACGTCTTACAAATTTGACACGATTAGATGTTTCTTCACTTGTTTCAGAATTGAATTTGCTCTTTTTACTTTTAGCGCGTCGTTTGGCAGTTATGTTAGAAGATTTCAACTCATTAGCTGACTGTTGTAAGACGTCTAATGGATCAGCTAACTGTGGGAAAAAATCTATTTAAGTCTAATATTGTAAGTAAATAGTTGATAAGTGTTTGACCGATAGTTCTGATAAACGCACCTGAAGTTCTATTTCCGCTATGTTCTTGAGTCTCTGACGTTCATATTCGCTTAACTTTTCGATTTCCTTTTCAGACTTTTTTACTGTTGCGAAAAACATGTCGACGGCGAAAAACGATTTTAGAATAYTATATTATTTGTTGCCGAACTCGTTGGTGTAGTGAAGAAACTGTACGAAGACACGACGTACCTGATACACTCTAACTATTAAGTTATGGTTGGTTAGTATCAACGTACTTTTGATTCCAGTAGTTTTCGATCAAAACCATGTGCTTTTATTTGGCCGAATCGTCTATATCAACTACGTTGGGTACTTACCGAACAAAAATAATATGTGGCGCGATGGTGGGTATGGCTACGCTGTGCGACGACAAAACTAAACGACACAGACGAAAAATGAAAAAAAAAACACTAAAGTTTAAAGTTAATATCAATGAACGACATATTAACCTCTAGACGGGTGGTTGACGAGAAATATACAGTTGGATTGTGTCTTGCGTCTGGCTGATTAGGTTAAGCGTCTGGGGCGACCGATGGCAGTGATTCGGCGGTTATGTTTTTTTGGCGCCAAATGCGCTCGGGAGATAATGGCCCGGCGGCCGCTGTAACCCCACTAACCCGCTCACCCATCGACCACAAACATGATAAGATAAATAAAGACGCTCCCGCCTCCAGACCGCGAAATTTTAAATAATATGTTACGTCTGATCATTTAACCAAAGATCTGCGCATGCGTGTGGACATACTTATTTTTCAAGTCTGGTACCAGTGGTACCTACTATTTACTGTTCTTCCGGAGTGTGATAAGAAATGTGATCGTGGGTCTGATGACTCTGATATTCTGATATCATAATTATTATTTATTATTACGTGTACTATGTATTACGTGATAAACTGCTAAAAGCTATTGAAATAATTAATTATTTTACATTCAATTATTAAGTATTTAAGTTGTTCAAGTGACAAGTTGTTGTATGGACTAGGACCGTTGTAGACAAATTGTTAATGGTTAAGACGTAGGAAAATTCGGCCGTAAAAACATGCTTTCGTACTTCCCATTTTCCTCAGCCTGTCAGCCTTCATTAGTCATAGAATCATGATTTTTTCACTGAAATAAAAGTTAGTCGTTTTTCTATATTTAATGTTCGGTGAAATAACCTGAGTAACGTTTTGAAAACTATGTTCAATTGAAACTTAAGAGAAAAAGTGATAGTAAAAACTGTGTCAATAAGAATTTAGATTTCAATATTGAATTGGAGATGAAAGAAAAAAAGTCCAAAGTTACTTCGATATTAAATTTTTCTAAAAGTTGTTCTTCGGTTTCTCAAAGTATAATTAGCCTTATGCTTTTTTGTTAAAAAAATTGGTTTATATTATAAAACAAGAGTATTAAATTTACCTACCTAAATATGTTTATTAATTATATAATTTTAATATAATTTATAACTAATAAATAGCCAGATTGGTGTGTACTTTCGAGATTATAATCATGTTAATTTATAAACACCGAATTGAAAAAAATATATTTTTGTCATTGAAATATAAATTCTACTAAAAATAAAAAAAATTGGTATTCAAAAGATATTTGGAATACTTTTTGGGAAATATTCCAAATACTTGAGAATATTACTATCATAAACCGTTTGAATTGTATAGCACACAAAAATAATTCCTGCTATGGACAATTCTTTATTTTTTTAAAAGGTAACAAATAAAAAACCAAAATTAATTTTGCAAACTGGCTTCTATTAAATAAAATGAAAAAAGTATTTCACAAGTATTTAGAATATTTTAAATACAAGCAAAGTATTTGAATTTGTTCTTATATAATATATTTTAAATACTCTCTGGATGGATGTATTTGTATCTATTTTTAAATACAATTTTAAAAGTATCTCTTACAAGACTGGTGTATGAAGATGTATGTATTTTTATATTACTTCAATAAAAAACAATGTTACTTATTAGCAATGTACAAAAAATATAATAATGAATTACTAAATGCTTAGGTATTAGGTGTAATATGTATATTTATACAAATATATTATGATGCATTAACATAAGTTTACATACACGAGACACTTAGAACCAATAAAACATTAATTATAATTACATAAACTAACATATCTATAATCTAAATAATATAAATAAAATATAAAAACAAAACAATTAATAAAATATTTATTTTTTTTATTGTGATCTATGGGACAAATACATACATATTATCAGAATGTACGTGTATAAATACATAATATTATTATGTATTTTAATAATTTATTTCACATAATAATTTTGTTCAGACAATAAAAATGATGTTAGAATTAGAATACCACAAGCAAAAATCTTTTTAATTTATGTTTCTGTTAAGATATATTATAATAAGCAGTGTTTAGTCGACCATCAAGAGGTACTACCAGTTGCATGCACACTTTGTATGGTTAGTGGTCACCTAGAAAAAGACCAACTAGCTTCACTTTCCCACCGAAAAAAATACTGATGTTGAAAATCAAATAATTTTTTCAGGAACTTGCCTTGTTGTACAGGCGTACAGCAATCTGCTACACAGACACAAAAAAAATTAAAATAAAAAGCACTATTCGTGTAAAACCGATACATTCAACGCTTCACTCAAATTTTAAAATATAAATTATTCATTTCAATCTTTCATATTATTTATAAAAAATAGTAAAATAATAATTTCCTAAAGTACATTCCTGCTAGAATGCTTAGGTATAATTAGAGCACGGATAATCTGTCTAGGATATATTATAGATTATTATTATTTATTATTAATTCTTATTAAAATATTAAACTTTTCGGTGGAAATTTTTTTTTTGAATTTTCGGTTTCAATTTTCAAATTTTGTAAAAAATATGCATTAACTTTTAAATATGCAAAGATATTCAAAACMAAATTTCACTATTAAATTTAAACTATTATGATTCCTGAAGATAACTGACAAAAATCCAAAAAAGTTAAATGGAAAAAAAGCGGGTAAGTCGTGGATGTCGCTCTGCTGTACAGTACTTTACAAGTGGATAACTGTAAATGGACGGAATTTAACTTGAATCCAATGATATTATATCATTGTATAAGAAAAACGATTCTGAGCGGAGACGGTTTATCTGTCTAGAATATATTATACAGTGGCGCACAGCCATGTCTTAAAACCCCTTCTACGTTTTTCATCAACCCACCCACCCACTCAAAATAATAAAGCATAAAAGTATAAAGTAAAATTTAAAATGGTAT